TTTTTTTTTTTTTTTTTTTAAGAATCCAAATGCAAGCTATTTGATCCTTTCAGCGACGTATTCCAGAGATCTAGAGCCTCGAGATTGTGTTCGTGGGGTTGTTGGAAGGGTTAAATGAGATGCCGTGTGGAGGCAGTGTGGCACCTCACAAGAGCATGGGCTGGGAAACCAGGCTGCCTGGCTTGGACTCCCCACCCCTTACAGGCTTTCCCTTGGGCATTATTGCGCCTGATTGCCTCAGTTTCCTCATCCATGAGGAACACAGTAATGGTACTCACCTTGTAAAACTGTTGTAAGGATTGCTGCATTGAAGATAGATAGAGTGCTAGAATACAGAATAGTGCCTGGAAGGCAGTAAATGTTCATTATTTTTACAAGCCATTCTCAGCTGTGGCCAAAAGAAATGAGATGCTCTCATGTTTAATTGAAATAGCACTTACGGTATTCCAGTATCCCAGAGTGAGGAGGAGTGGAGAAGCACGTTCGATTCAGCCCGTGGAGATGGGCCATTGCCTGGGGTGGTGCTCAGATCCGTGCACTGCGTCGGAGTTGTAGCCACGGGGTAGAGGCCAGGCCGGGGCTGTGCTGGGAGTGCTGTTGTGAGGAAGGCTTGCAAGAACTGAAAATGTCTTGCCTGGGGAGGGAGGACTTCCCCATTGGACAGTGGCAGTAGAGGGACCTGATTCAGATGGGCAGTTTAATTCAGAAACGAAAACCTGACCTGGCCCCAGCGGAAGGCTGGGTTGCTTTTCAGGTCGGCCTCCTCCCTGTAATGTTCTCTCTCCTGAGACGCCTGGCCCTCGGGCCCCACTGAATGCAGTGTGCCTGTTCTGCATTTGGAGTCTGTTAGGAGAATGGGCGTTTGAGGCTCAGACACAGTGTGGTCTGGGTTCCTCTTGGAAGTGCCCTGTCGGAACATTAGGGATCCTGGGAGGAGGACTGTTGGCTAAGTGGTCATTCTGCATGCCATTTAATGGCCTGGCGATGCTGCTTTTTGAATACGTTCTGTAGGGTGTTTATGTCATGTGTGAGATAAACGGTAGTATTTGCAGTTAGTTTGGGAAATCCTGAGGGAGAACGGTATAATTTAATGAAATAGACATTTCCCATTTGAATTAGGCTGTAAAGCAGAAGAGTTACTACTTTTTGTTAAATCAGAAATTTATCAGGTATTTAAGGTACTTTTGGCCTAAAAACTCCTGAAGATACTTCTTTCCTTGGAGTTTCTGTATTTTAATTTAAACTTTTGTTTTTAAAAGAGTAGGATTGATACCCAGTTCGTTTCTACATAGAGGCAAAAGGACGCTACGGAGCCTTTTGGAGCTTACAATTGAACTGGTTGTGAAATGAGGACATTTCTGTACCTGAACTCCGAGGAACCAGAGGGGGCCAAATGCAGGATGGGATTGTGCACACCTGCGTCTTCAGCCCTTACACACACACACACACACACACACACACACACACACACACCGTTCAAGTGTTTAATAGCTTACTTAGAAATTTGGGGAAAGCTGAAGAATAAGGAACGGTGGTTAAATTTTATGTGGAAAGGGATAATGGAGTATATAGCATTTAAGACAGGTACTTTTGGTGTGTAAATCTTCAGAGTTTTAGATAAAAAATTTCCCTGGCTTTCCGCTGAGTTTATTGTCTTGGAGTATCTGAAATTCCTCATTTTCTCCATAGATGGTAATTGACGTGGACACTTGCTGGGGATGCCAGGTTAACACCGATTTGCTTCCTTCAGCCCCTCACCTTCTCTGTGCTCATTTGTTTGACCTTCTATTTGGTGGTCAGTTCAGAATGCTATTGAAATAGGACTTTTGAAGACCACATATCTTGGAAGAGTCCCTCTGTCTTTGAAGTTTTATCTTGAGGGACCCAATAATTGTTTTCTTGGCCTAGAATCCGTATTTTTCTTCCCAGGATTTATTTCTAAAGAAAGGTTTTTAAGCGTTTGTTGCTTTCAGGCATGAAATTATTGAGAAAAAAAATATTTGTTTTCCTCAAAATACCCAGTGGCCCTTCAAATGCCAGTTGGGTCGTCTTTCATTGCTTTTCTGTTGACTGTAACTGTTGGAAGCAAATGTCCGTGTTAAATAGCTGTCCAGAAAATACTTTTAAAAAGTTTGTCCAACAAGGAGAAAATTTGAACTTAATAGTAAACATCTCAGAAGGTGCCCCCCCCCCCGCCCCCGAAAATGTGTCCTGGCCGGTGACCAGATGCTCTTTAAGCAGGTGCTCTGTGTTGTAGGCAAAGAAGCTCAGAAGGGACCTCTGCTCTTCGACGACCTCCCTCCGGCCAGCAGTACTGACTCAGGTACAGTCTTCAGGCTCTCCCAGGTGTGTGTCAACGTGTCATCCTGGGGTTGTAGTTGTCTCAAATCTTTCTCCCTTTCCCCCATTTTCAACACACAGATGTTTTAGGTGTTGGACTGTCTTAAGTTTTGAATCCATGGCATCAGGTAAGGCAGAAAAATCCACTAGTCGCTAGCCCTGAGGAGCTGCATAAAAACGTTGAGCAGTTTCCTCCGGTTCATTTGAGTGTTTACTTTACCAGCTGAAATCAGATTTAACTCTTTCAGGCAGATTTTTGTTTCCTTTGATTGATAGGACTTTAAAATAAAATAGGTTCGAGCCATTATTTACCGAAGTATGAGTTGCCACTGGATTGACACGAGAGTTTTGAGATGATTTCATTGACCTGCGTAGGTGTCCTGGTGGGATGGATTCTGAAGCTCTTGCCTCCCCCAGGTTTTGTGGGCTCACTGAGTGTTCTGCTGTGTTTCAGGATCAGGGGGACCTTTGCTTTTTGATGATCTCCCACCAGCCAGCAGTGGGGATTCAGGTAAGTGGGAGGGAAAAGGTTCAATGTGCCAATGGAAATAATACATAAAAATTGTATCCTTATGTAAAATGTATTTATTAATAGATTCCACAGAGCTTAGGATGACATGAAACCAGCATACAGCATGAGATTTATTAAAATCACAAAAGAAATAGGCACCATCGGGTGGAAACAAAAAGATTATATACAGCATCACTTTTTGGTGATTATTGTTTACTTCTTGGGGTTCCACCTCTTGCAACTGACTTTAAGAATTAAGAGCTTAGTCATTTAAACTTTGTTTTTAACATTTTATAAAAAAAAAAAAAAAACAATCCGTCTCTGCCTCTGTTAGTGACAGACTCCAGTGTATTCATTCAGCAGAAGTCTCTGAATATATGACATAGTTAAAATGTTTTTAATATCCCTGAACCTATAAAAACAGATAGTCTTCTCTTTTAATGCACCTACATTAAAAAGAATTTTGATCTCAAGAAAATACAGTCTGAATGACACTGGTTTAGTAACTAGTACAGACCATGTGCAGGAGTTTTCTTGGAATTTCTTGAAACCTTAGCTGGTTATTTTCATTCAGTCCTTATTTTTTCTCAAGAACCTTTATTGATTTGATTTCATTTTTGCCAAGCCTGTTCACATTGGTTCTACCTGTTCCTGGAAATGTTTTCTCCTTTCTACATCCCAGTTAGGTCGAAGGGGAGAAAAGAGCAGGTTCCGGTCAGTGGTCACAGTGATGAGTCTCCTCTTGTGTCTCACCGAGGACTTCTCACGTGGAATCACTCTAAGTGAGGGCAGGACAGGGGGCCACAGGACAAGAGTGAGGGGACAGGGGGGGCAGGCTGTCTATTTTCACCTGCAGTTATCTGCTGGTGTAAATACCTTCCTTATGTCGTCAAGTACAACACTTGCTGCTGATTTTCAAGTCGATCTTTTGTGTTACTAATTCATTACATAAAAATAATCAGGGTTGGTCTAGAATGTATGGATTAAGTTAGCATAGTTCTGTATTTAGAACAAGTTATTACAGGCCTCTAATGTGAGAATTCTCAGGTTTTCGGGGCTTTACTAAAACACCACAGCATTCTCTCATTCACAGTTAAACCTGAAACCTTGCCTATAAGGACAGCAGTCTTACAATGAAAGTCAGTGCGTGCAAACATCAACTTAACAGGGCTCTTTACAGGTTTAATAAAAGAAAATTCAACATAGCTGTGTCTTAGTTCTTCCCAGGACAAAGGACAATCAACTAGTAACAACTTAGAAGATTTTGCACCATTATTAACAGGCTTGATTTTTTCGGATTTAGAATCTAACCTTGCATCCAATATATTGAATTTCTTGAGAAGACATATTCACCGTATACAAAATCGACTACATTCTAGGCCATAAAGTAAGTCCCACTAATGAATTGATTTCATATACAGACCACATTCTCTGACTACAAGTGATTCAATTAGGAGTTAGTAACAAAGCTATAAAAATGTCTCTGTTTTGCGAGTTAAAAGAGAGGAAGCTTGTTTTACATACGCACCAGGAAAGCTGGGATAAATAGTACGTGACAGGAGGCTACCGGAAAGACCTTGGGGGAAAGTATATTGGAAACATTAGTGAAATTTTCTCAGTTAACGTGCTTTACTATGTGGGGCAGGGTGTGTGTTATGTCCTGCTGTTGCAGATATCTGTCCTTTTGCAAGTAATTGACTCTGCAGGGACATTTTCTTCCCTTCCTCTGTACTCAGAAATGTCTGGTGAAGGATAATTGAGTAGATGGTCACATGCTTTTATACTGAAATGCAGAGGATACTTAGGGCTGCCTACTATGACAACGGCTGCCATTTATTGGGTACGTGATGACCCAGGCACTGTGATAAATGCTTCTACTTACCTCGTCCCCACCTTCCGAGATGACAGTGTTCTCCCTGTGTTACGGGTCGAGAAACCGAGGCGGGGAGGTCAAGTCACTTGCCTTAACTTGAGACTAGACTTTTCTCCTTCCAAAACGCACGCACCCTGCAGGTGCTCTTAGCTTTTTGGCTTGAGTACAGACTCATCCCTCTGCAAGTGTGAATGGCTTCAGTGGTCCTGTTTGGCCTTTCGCAATACACGGTTCTTAAAACCTGACATTTACCTCATTGTAACCCTCTCAGGGCACTTGATGCTTTCTTGACTTGTTCAGGACGTGTCACTTTGCAGATTTTGGAAACTTCCCTATTAATAAGGGCCTGTGGGTATGGAGCCTCGTGTGTGTCACAGCCCCAAAATGTGGGCTGTTTTTACCACTGACGACCCTCCTTGCAGATCCTCTCACAGTTGGCCTGAGCAGGACCTGGATCTTGACCTGTGGTCCCTCCTGGTGGGCACCCGGCCCACTGCCCACCCCTCCAAGTCCTCGCCATGAGATCCCTGTGCCTGCCGCTCTCCCAGTGCTCGCACCGCACGTCATTTCGTCTTGGGGCTGGGGTGGAGCCTGGTCGGCTGGGAACTTTGACAGTCTGTAGCTGTGTCTGTCTGGCTTCTCCTCGTGTCCAGGTTCTCTTGACGCTTCGATGTCCCAGACGGTAAAGAACGAAGGGAAAGGAGCAAAGAGAAGAGCCCCTGAAGAAGAGAACGGCAGCGAAGAGCTTGTGGAAAAGAAAGTTTGTAAAGGTTTTCAGACAGTTTGAAAACAAATGTATTAGACTTCCCATCTTAAAACAACCCAGAGCAAAAACGAGCTCAGCTTTCCCATTCGGGACACTTCTGTTTCGTGTCTGTATTTAAGAAACTGGCAGGGTTCTCTTTTTGCAGACAGACTTCCGAGTTTACTTTTGCCTCCTCCCCTAACTTTTCTGTTCGTCTCTGGCCCAACTTTGGCCAGGCCGGAAACCCACGTTTGTTCTTCGAGGGTTAGAAAACCCAGGTCATTTTGACTTCACCTTGTCTAGTGAACAGTTAGCTTGTTGGGCCCCCACTTTCTCTCTGACTCCTGTCTTTGTTCACAGCCTGTTGCTGAGCACTTTGAATTTGTGATCAGCTTAGTAGGCAGCTTCCCAAGAAGGAGCCTGAGGCTGGAAAAACCAGTTGAAATTTGTAGTCAGCTCTGTAACTTGTCAGAGTGGAGAAGAAATGAAAAGTATCAGTTAAAGAGAGGTAGCCGTGGATGTTCACACACCATACCGATCATTTTGTCCTTTGCCCCAGAGCTTCCAAGCGAAAGCCGTGGGGTGCACTGGGAGACGTGTGAGAAGCCTACTAACCCGCTTAAGGACAGGGTCGTAGGTTAGCTGGTCACGGCCTTGAGCCTCAAGAGCACCGTGCTTACCAGCAACGGCTCTGTCAACGTGCTCGTTTTATTGTTTACACAGCCCTAGGGTGTCCGAAAAGGAGCTTAACCAGGCCTGGCCGTTCAGTGTCAGCAGGTTTCTGTGCCCATGGTGTGTGTACTCCTTTATCCTTTTCTTCCTCACTTGAAGTAGAAGCAACTGTCTTACTCTTTGTTCAAATTCATTACCAGCCTCAGGCATGGGAATAGAGTTTCACATGTCCAGCAGGGCATTTGGGATAAACTCCATGCATGTGTCTAAACTAGGAATTTTTCTGCCCTCATTAGATAACTGACAAGACTGGGTTTGCACACAATCCCTTGCCCCAGTTTGGGACGACAGCACATTCCTTGCTCTGCTGTTAATGCCTTAACCGAAGCTGTCAGTACTAACTTGCTGTCGTCTGCTACTTCCCTCTTCAGTGTTCAGCCTTCTCTTGTTTATTTTTTGAGAGAGAGAGGGAGTTTGTGTGAGAGTGGGGCAGGGGCAGAGAGAGAGAGCACGCGTGAGCAAGAGAGAACCCCAGGCGGGCTCTGTGCCCAACGCGGCGGAGCCCAGTGTCGGGCTCAATCTCACCACCGTGAGATCATGCCCTGAGCCACCCAGGCGGTCCCACTGCCCAGCCTTTTAGAGACCGTCCTTGTCCAACAGTGGTCTGATCTTAGTTACAGATTGCAGCTGGGGAGGTAGGTGGCTGCAGGGGAGCAGCTTATTCATGTGCACGGTTAGGACATCACTGAGTGAAACAGCCAGAGTCCCCTGCCCCCCCCCCCCCCCGTTTGCTCTGGGACTAGGGCTTCTGGAGGGAAGAGCACAGTTTTGTATTGGCCTTTTGTTCTCTTTCCCGCAGCCTCCTCGGTGATCTTTGGTCTGAAAGGCTACGTGGCTGAGCGGAAGGGTGAGCGGGAGGAGATGCAGGACGCCCACGTCATCCTGAACGACATCACTGAGGAGTGCAGGCCCCCATCGTCCCTCATGTGAGTGTCCCTGCTCCAGCAGGCCTCTGTGGACCATTTGGCCCGAATTCCGCGGGCAGGTTTCAGGAGCGTGGCCTGTCGCTTGGACTGCTCGGTTCTCGATTTTGCACAGTGCTTCCCTTCCCGACGTTTTTGGTCGTCACGTGGGCGGGGGTGCTCAGGTTGCTGCCAGACGCCCTGCGACAGAGAGCTGTCTGGCCCCAGGTTGTTCCTGGCTCTGGCAGAGCCGAGAACCCTGTTAAATGGGAACAGACTGCCAGTGTCTGAGGAGCTTCCGGCAGGGAGCGCTCTTACTCTGTGAGCCCGTAGGTGGAGGGGGGGAGCTGCTCCTTCTGCGGCACGTGGTGATCCAGGAGAGCCGTGTCGTGGTCAGGGCCCAAAAGAGAAAGAGCAGAAATGGCATCAAGGAGAAGAACAGGGAAAATTTTCCTGCAACTGTACAGATTAAAATGAGGCCTTTGGATAAGCTCTGAGGCATGGAGGAAAGACATCAGAAGGCAGGACATCAAGGCGTGTCATTAACACACGTCCCACATGCACACGGGGGACTCTGTAGGGCAAGGATCATGCGTGTGTGCACATGGGGGACTCTAGGGCAAGGATCACGTGTGTGTGCACCACCGTGTTTCCACAGTCACAGTCTGTTATTAACGGACAGTGTGCTGGAGCCATTGGTGCCGGTGGCTTTTGTCCAGGTGAGGAAGTGATGGTCCCTGCTGGTACCTGGTCATGTGCGGAGAAGACCACGTGTGTATGCACGGTCCCTGGTGTTAGGCGGCCATTGATCACTGGTATGCTTTGGAGTTCCTTTTGAAGCCAGGAAAGGCCTCTGGAGAGCCCGGCGAGTGGGTGTCACTGGGCTCACTAAACTGTGCCTTAGCAGGTACCGTGTGTTAGGAACCAGACGAAGGTATTTAGTCACAGCTTATGAGGTCTCTGTTGAAAAGGAACTCGAAACATGTTTGAGAAAGAGCTCTGCAGAGTGAATGTCATTTCCCGTGGGCATTTTCATTCCTGCTTGAAATGCTTTAAATCGTTAACGGTGTTTATTCTGTATATGAAAGCTTTCTGGCAGAATTTGAAAGGGGAATAAGTGGTAAGGTGGGCATTGAGAATTAGCTGCTGGGTCAGTCTGAGTGACCATTCTGGAATTACCTCCGCTCTCCGAGGTATTTTTCACGGTCTTGGATCAGTTACTGGTATTGGTGTGTTAGGTTTAAAACGAAATCTGTTTTAAATACAAGTTCTGAATTTTAGTTTCATCTTCAGTGAAAGATCAGTTAATCTTGAGTTTTGAAAAATGTGAGTTTTTAACTTATTTTTTTTAAGATTATTTTTAAGTGATCTCTATACCCAGTGTGGGACTCGAAACCGCAACCCCGAGATCAGGAGTCTCATGCTCCACTGACTGAGCCAGCCAAGGCCCTGAGTTTTTTACTTTTAATTTAAAAATGCCATGAAAGTTGAGGCGCCCGGCCGGCTCAGTCGGAAGAGTGTGACTCTGGATCTCCAGGTCATGAGTTCGAGCCCCGTGTTGGGTGCAGAAATCACTTAAATGAACTTAGAATAAAAAATACCATGAAAGTTAACTTCCACGTTTGTCTCAGTTAACGTTGTGTCTTTTTTCTCCATTGTGACAGTGTGGCTGATGTCTTAGCAGGGGGCGTCCTCAGTCTTTTCGGTGCTCACTGTTTGAAATAAGATTTAGAAACCTTAGTGGACAGGAGCAATCTTTCTGAAAATCTCAGTAACTGACAATTCATTCTTCCAGTACCCGGGTTTCATATTTTGCTGTTTTTGATGGACACGGAGGAATTCGAGCCTCAAAATTTGCTGCACAGAACTTGCATCAGAACTTGATCAGGAAATTTCCTAAAGGTGAGACTGAGAACAAAGTCGGTTCGTGTTCGTCTTGGTGTTTGCTGTCGGTGTAAATCAGGAAGGCGGGTCACGTTGCAGAGAACCGTCAGTGGCTCTCTGAAGATGGAGCAGAAGGGAGTGGGGCTTGAGGTGGGCAGGTGGGGCCGTGTAGGCGCCTGGCGTAGGACTTGTCGTCTGCGCGATGGCACCTTGCGTGAGCTGTGTGTGTGTGAGTGAGTGTCTTGCCTTCACACCTGGAGACTGCTAACAAACTCCACTGACCCTATCTTATGGGCGAGGAAGTGGGATGTTGTTGGTCACGGCACAGAAACAAAATGGCAGTGGGAGGAGAATTTGCCCTTAAGAGTTCGTCGTCTGGTTGCTTCCGTAACAGGAGACGTAGTCAGCGTAGAGAAAACCGTGAAGAGATGCCTTTTGGACACTTTCAAGCATACTGACGAAGAGTTCCTCAAACAAGCTTCAAGCCAGTAAGTGTAATCACATAAAGACGAGTGTGTGAGCGCGCGGAGGTCTTCCGATAGTCACCCGCCACCGAGTGAGCTCTCCTGACCGCTAACGTGCGTATCGGGGTACAGACCTTACCATTCAGCTCTGCAAGTGAGTCTCGAAGTGCGGGTGTTGGTCGGCGGTGACCGTGTTTCTGACGTGTCTGCCCCCAGGAAGCCTGCCTGGAAAGATGGCTCCACTGCCACGTGTGTCCTGGCCGTGGACAACATCCTGTACATCGCCAACCTCGGAGACAGTCGGGTACGTGGCTCCGGAGCCGCTCCCGGGGACGACGGTGCTGGGTGTGGCCGACACCAGGAAGCGTGCGCTCAGCGGGGTGGGAAGTGGTGACGGGCTGAGGTCTTTCTTGCGGGGCTGTTGCTGGGGCTTCCGCAGACTCCACGTTCGGGGCAGGGGGCCGGCGGCTGCGCCGGAGCTGTTTGCTCTCTGGGCCGTCTTGGGCCCTGGGGAGCGTGTGCGTGTGTGCGCGTGCACGCACACACGCTCTGCCGCCATGGGGCTGTGGGTCAGAATGTCATCTCTGTGCAAGCAGCTTGAATATTCCTCAGCTGCATGTCTCTGACTTCAGGTGGCTGGGAAGGAACAGGGCGAGCCCTTCCCTCAACACCAAATAAGTCAAAGGCAGTTGGAGAAGCACTAGGTGATGCCGTGTCCGGAGCCCAGGCCGCGTGACCGCGGGCGAGAACCTGCTTATTTCCCACTGGTGGCAGCCAGTGTCCCGGCCCCAGCGGTGGGGGATGGCTTAGAGCTGGAGGGCAGCGCCCTGCCGCCTGGCTCCGCCCCCCTCCCCACGCGGCAGGACCTCTTTCAGCGAGCCTGGTGCTGCGGCAGCGGTCACGGTGACCAAGTGAGCCTTCCCGCTCTCAGGCAGCACCTGGAGACCGCTGCCCGCACCCCGTCGTGTTTAGAGTGAGCTCTGCACAAATACTAGGCGCTGGGGGGACAGCAGTGAGCATCACAGACGGTCCCTGTGCAGTGGGTTTTATCTGGTGATATTCTAGCAGACCATCCTAGGTCACGTGTGTTGAGACTAAATAACAAGTAACATGAGTAAAATTGGGGAGGGGGCGGGGGGGGGAACAAAACCTTTGAGCCTGATCCAAATTTGCATCCTGTCTGCCTCCTGGCTCTGCTGTGTGACCTCAGGCACATACCTGTCCTCCAGGCTTCCTGCTCCGCAGGACTGAGGTTTCCCCGGAAGTTCCCATGTGGTGGACACAGTGGTGGCAGCGAATGGAGGCGCTTGGCCAGCCCGCCCTCCTGCCCTCCCCTCTGCCTGCAGCGGACTTTGGGAGTAGCGACGCCTTCCGGGGCTTTCACCCTCGTTGGGTGTCGCAGACTAGAGGGCAGCGGCCTGCGGAGGGTCAGCGACTGGCTGCTTGTCCTGCGGTGCTGGCGCCAGACTGGACCCGCACCACAGCCCCTCTCCCTGGTCGCGGTTTCTGTGACGCTTCTTTGCTGCCTGATGCTCTGAACTCGTGTTTGTCAGCGGGAGACTGAACTGAAACTCCGTTGTTAACCTTTCTCTTCACCTGGTAAATTTGAACTTCATGACCATGGGACTGTCCGTGTTCCCAGGCAATCCTGTGTCGGTTTAATGAGGAGAGTCAGAAGCACGCGGCCTTAAGCCTCAGCAAGGAGCACAACCCCACCCAGTATGAGGAGCGGATGAGAATACAGAAGGCTGGCGGGAACGTCAGGTAACAGGGCTGGCGGGTGCTCCCCGTCACCGTGGCCGGGGGGCCTCCCAGGGCAGAACTTGCCATGTTCCCCAGTGTCTGTGGTGGGAGGCGACCAAGGTCGAAGCCGGGGAAGCAGGGGAATGGAGGTTGTGGGATTTCGCACCGTGTGCCTAGGAACGTTCTTGAATACTGTCATTTGTCACAACTGAATAAGCCACAGTTTTAGGCAAATTCTCCAGGAGAGAATCTGAAGTGGTGAAGACAGTAGCTCTTCGTAGCCCGCACCGACCTGCTCCGTCTGCGGCTCCGTCTCTGTCTACACCTTTGACGACCGCGTGCCCGCTCTGGTTTTCATCTGCTGTTTCTCGAAGGTGGCTGACGAGGCTGACTTCTTTCCTCGTCTTTTCTCTACCGAAGGACGTTTACCGGAGTTTGGCCAGGGCGTTTTCTGGTTGGTCTTACAGTATGACCGTTAGGACTTGATGTTCTGTGGGGGGTGAGAGAGCAGGAAGGGGTCCGGGAAGGCCCGTGGCCGTCTGTCCCCAGAGGGGCATTTTCTGTCCATCGCTGCTGCTCTAGGCTGCTTCCGGCCAGTGGTGCACGGCCTCTGGAGAGGAGTCACAACTCTGAGAGCTCCTTTGGCTTTCTTAGAACTTTAAAATTCTGCTTTTGCCCGAACTCCTTGAAAAAATTTGGACATTGACAGTCCCGTGGCTGACAGGAGTATCAGCCATGTGGCGGCTACCCTCTGTCCCCAGGCTCCACGTCATTGAGAGCGGTGTCGAGGTGTCTTAGCGATGTCGTTTGACGGTGTGGCCAGGACGAGCCCCTCAGAGAGGGGAGGGTGGCTCAGGGCGGCGGGCCGGCTTTGTCTTCTCCACGCCCACCCTGCCGCTGCTATTATTGACACTTTGAGACCTACAGAAAACAATGTAAAATAGTAAAACATTCCAGCATCTACCGCCTGGATTCAGCAGCGAACATTTTTGCCACGTGTGAGGCTGCCCTGTGTGAAGGTTCGTTGCAGGCAGAACGCAGAGAGTAACTCTGGTTGCCGCATTCTCTCCTTTCCTGGCCGATCCCGACTTCCCCAGCTATCGCGCGCTGTCTTGGTTGGAAACCGGCGTCCGGTCGGCATTCACGTTGACCTGGGTCCCTCCCCTTTCCGTGAGGACAGTCGTGCGGGGTCGCCCGCGTCCCGAGTTCACTGCCTGCTTTCACACGGCCCGTCCGTTGTTGGCGTACGTCTGTCCTGCACGTGGGAGTGCGGGTCAGCTCTCCACGTGGTTTTCTGAAGTACAGGTGGCTCTTCCGGCCCCGTGATCGTTGGCGCTCCCTGCTGTGGCTCCCGCAGTGCGTGGGACACACTGAAAACGGCTGTGCTTCCGGGGGGCGGGGCCTACTGTGCTCACACCCCGCGCCCATACGGTTTCTGTGCAGAGCTGCTGGCACTGACCGGGTCTTTGGGACCTGCGGCTGCGTCGACGCAGGCCAGGCTCGTGCCTGGGGCGGGGGAGGCCACACCTAGTCACAGGTCACCAAAGAAGCGCCTCCTTGGGTTCCTGTGGGGCTCGCGCTTTGAGTGGCTTCCCAGTTGGTGCTCTGGAGGCTGAGAGTGCCCCTCCCCCCACCCAGCTCTTCCTCTGCTCCTGTGCACTTTGTCCCCCTTGCTGTTCATTTCCATGATTGTACTAAAGATGCCAGCAGGAGGCCCCCGCCGGGAGGGCGACGGTGTGGCCACAGTGAAGGGCCGGGACCGGACTGGATTCTGGTGCCAACACAGCGGCCCAGGCCAGTGAGGAACTTCCTGCCACCCGCAGCCATCTGCAGAGCATCTCTGCGTAGCATTTCCTAATGTTCCATCACTTGGAAAACCTCTGTAGACCCCTGCGAACGGCTCTGACGTTTGCTGAGCACTCACGCGCCCCTCGTGTGCGCCTTCTCTGGTTTCACAAGCGAGGGCCTGCGGCCCCAGGGGTTTGCAGCTGCCGGAGGTCGCAGAGCACGCAGGCCCATCGGGATTGTTCTCGGGGGCATCGAGTGGGGGCCCTTTCCCCTGCTGACAGACATGCAGGCCCACTTCTAGGTTGCCTCCCCATCTCTGGATGCCTCATTGGAAAACGGAACGTGTAGGGACACCTGGGTGGCTCAGTCGATTAAGTGTGCAAATCTTGATGTTGGCTCAGGTCATGACCTCAAGGTTCATGAGATCAAGCCCCGTGTCGGGCTCTGTGCTGACAGCTCAGATCCTACTTGGGATTCTCTCTCTCCCTCCCTCTCTGCCCCTTCCTTGTTCGTGCTCTCTCTCAAAAAGTAAATAACTTGGGGTGCTGGGTGGCTCAGTTAAGTGTCCAACTTCAGCTCAGGTCACAATCTCACAGTTCGTGGATTCAAGCCCCATGTCGGGCTCTGTGCTGACACCTGGGAGCCTGGAGCCTGCTTCAGACTCTGTGTCTCCCTCTTTCTCTGCCCCTTCCCTGCTTGTACTCTGTCTCTCCCTCTCTCTCAAAGGTAAAATAAAACATTAAAAAATAATAAATTAATTAAAAATTGGAATGGGTAAAAGTCTAATGTGCAGAATACTACAATTGATACAGGTTAAGATAAACCACGTTCACAGCCTGTGTACAGAAAGCGGTGCTTCGGCATCTGGGAACAGTTACCTTCAGGTATTTTCCAAGTCCGGTTGGGTACAAGTTCAAAGTGTCCTTCTGCGGCAGCTGTTACCCTGGCTGCGGGCTCAGATGTGGCCTGAGGGGCTTCAGGGCAAACACAAAATAGAAAAGCAGATCTAGGCCCCGACCCAGTCCTGTCACATCCAGCTTGAGTGTGGGCAAGATAGCAGGTTGGGGGTCGGGGGCTGCCCCGTGCCAGCCAGGGGGTGTACCGTGCCGTCGGGTGCCGCGGGGCGGAGGCGCCCAGGATTCAGCACGGAATGTGCAGACAAGCGTGTGTTCCTTGAGGCTCAGGGCTGGCAGCGCGGGTCAGAGCAGACTCGCGGGCTCCGTCTTCCCTCTGCCTCTCAGGACTGTGGACCCACGATCTGTCACATGGAGTCTGTTTCCCCGATTTAGGGACGGACGTGTCTTGGGTGTGCTGGAGGTGTCGCGCTCCATCGGGGACGGGCAGTACAAACGCTGCGGGGTCACCTCTGTGCCAGACATCAGACGCTGCCAGCTGACCCCCAACGACAGGTACGTGGCCGTGCCACAGGCACAGGGGTGCATGCACACGGTCCGGTTTCCCTTCCCGACTTCAGTTTGTGTCATGAGCCTGGAGTGGGTGGAGCAGTCCTGTCGTGGGCACTGCCTGGGCCTGACTGCAGGAACAGACAGACTGCTTTCTGCCCTGGCGGGTCCCCCAGTCCAGGAGGTGAGCGCACTTTTAACCGGGGGGGGGGGTCCTGGCACCAGGTGTCGGGAGCACGGGTGCTCTGGGGGACCTGGGCCACGTCCCTGTGGGAGAGAGAAGGGCCTCCCGGCAGAGGGAAGATGCACCGCCACTGCAGCAGGAGAGCATGACGGGTGGGCGGGCGACAGTAGCGGAGAGCATCGAAGGATGACGGCAGGGTGCTGGGGGGCAGGGGGCGGGTTGTGCGGGGTCCTGAGTTCCATGCTGAGGAGTTTGGCTGGTGGAGAAGGGAGGTGTTGAAGCAGCGCCGGGCTGGGGCCAGAAAGAGACGGCCGTGATGAGCTGCCTGAAGATGGCGCCGTGCCCGCCACGGCCAGGGCCCCTCAGCGAGGAGTTGAAGGTTGGGTGGGCGGCCCGAGGCTCAAGAGGAGCCCCGAGGAGCCTTGAGGAGTGGGCCTGCTCCCTCCGCCTCCCCACGGCCCCGCCTGCCCAGCGTCTCATGCGGGGCCGTGTGCGCTTGCCGGCCTTGGGGTCTTGGGACACTTCCTTCCACCAGCCCCTCCTCTGGTTTTCCAGACCCTGCCCGGGCCCTCCTGTGGCGTGCGTTGTGCCAGCTCCCCTGCTCTGGGTTGTAGTCGTGGCTTTGTGTGACCAGTTACTCGGGCTCTGTCACCACGGGAGGGGGGCGGGGCGGGGCGGGAGCCTCCCCGGACGTGCACCTGCTGGGCTCCAGGCACCCTGCGTGCTCACTGAACACTGGGGGACGCGCCCGGCCAGAAGACAAACCAAGACCTGGGTGTTAGCATGAGCAGAGAGGGGTGACCACCTCAGAGCTGTGGGGAGCCCCCCTCTGCACCCTCTTGTTCCCAAGGACTTCCTTCGGGAGTCCAGAGGAGGGGGCCTCTGAAAGGGACCTGATCCTGTTCTCAGACCACAGACGTACCTGGTTGTCCTGCCTGCCGTGTTGGACTCTCGCAGCGCTCTGTGAGGGTCGTGAGGGCTCGAGGCCCTCGTGTCTGTGTCTACACGGTCACGTGGTGATGGAAATTCAGTGTGTTTGCCGTAACACCTGATGTTTTTATTCCACGATTTACCTCGAGTTCATGTAAGAAGTACCTAGCGTTTGGGTTAGTCCATAATCATCTTGTGGGCGGACAGAAGGGTAGTCCAGTTTTGATGGACAGTATCACAGCTCTAAATGCTAGTTTCCACCTCTCATAGAAGTTAAATTGGTTGTAAAAAAATTCTTAGCCTTTGAGTAGTTGGATAAATATTTGTTTTACCTGCATTGTCCAGCCATTTGATAACGTTTGCTGCTAAAACCCGTTTATATTTCTTCTTCCCGTTGCAGGTTCATTTTGCTGGCCTGTGACGGCCTCTTCAAGGTCTTTACCCCGGAAGAAGCTGTCAACTTCATCTTGTCCTGCCTGGAGGTAAGAGCTCACCCAGTACCAGCTGCTCGAGCTGCACGTGGCTTCCTCCCCGCGGCCCCCCAGTGCACTTTTCCTGTGTGAACTCCACCCAGGGGACTCATCGGTCCTTTGGTCCTGCTGCCTGTCCTGACGGAGGCTGGGGAGCAGTTCCTCCTTTCAGAGACCACATCTCGGAGGGTGACCGGATCCCCTGCTCACCTGTGCCCCTTTGCTGTCCGGTAGGATGAGAAGATCCAGAGCCGAGAAGGGAAGCCCACAGTGGACGCGCGCTATGAAGCAGCCTGCAACAGGCTGGCCAACAAGGCGGTGCAGCGGGGCTCGGCGGACAACGTCACGGTGATGGTGGTGCGGATAGGGCAGTGAGGGCGCGGCGAGGCCAGGGGCGCGGCATGTGCTGACTTCAGAGGTTCATTGTGTGTGTGTGTGTGTGCACATTACGTGTGTTTCGTGTACTCCTGTGGGACTCCCATGGTTGTAAATAAAGGTTTCTTTTTTTTTTTCTAGTCTTTGCATTATTACATTTGAATGATTCTTGACCCTTCAGAGGTTGTGTTTGCTTTTGGATGTGCTCTGGGTCTTTCCTTGGCCAAACCGTCATGGCATCTTGGATTGGCCTGTAGTGGTGACCCCACAGGCTGCTGTGACATTTGTAGTTCATGGGCACCTCACCTGTGCTCTTTCGCCCTCGTAATGCGCCTGGTTGGGGACGTGGCATTTTACAGTGGGAAACTGAGGAAGTGACCTGCCCAGACAGGCTGTCCGAGCCTTCTGGCTTTTTTCAGTTCTCTGTGCGAAATAAGGTTGCAGAACATTGTGTGGGGGGCGGGGTGCTAGGCCTAGCTGAGGGGGGGGGTAGCCCGATACATGAGGTGCCTCTGGTAGGCACTCCCCGAACGACATGGAATTCGGCTAATTTCTGATTCCCTTGATAATGGGTGCAGTCGGGCCCCAGGTCTCTGGACTGCCAGGTCTCCTGAGTCCCCCCATCTGGACCCCCTGGGTGTCAAACGGGCGCTTTCCCGGTCGGAGCAGCCAAGCTGCTGTTCGGAAACGCCTCTGAAATCCAGCTTCCAGTGTTAGGCATGTGTGTGCAGTTGGCTCTGTGCCGGGCTGAGGTCAGTTGTGAGGACACTTGAAAGAGGGACCCTTCTGGTGAAGATGTTAAAAAATGCATAGTCTGGGGGCGCCTGGGTGGCTCAGTCGGTTGAGCGGCTGACTTCAGCTCATGATCTCGCGGTCTGTGAGTTCGAGTCCCACATCAGGCTCTGTGCTGGCAGCTCAGAGCCTGGAGCCTGTTTTGGATTCTGTGTCTCCCTCTCTCTGACCCTCCCCCATTCATGCTCTGTCTCAAACGTTAAAAAATAAATAAATAAATAAATGCATAGTCTGCTTGCAGGAAGAAACTAAAATACTTCTCAAGTCCTTGTTGATCCGGAAAACCGGTCACATGATCACCGCAACCGAGTTTTAGTAAAGCAGCTCTTGGGCCTCCCTTAAGTGTTTGCCTCAGGATGATGTAAGTTTCCACCACGTTGCCTTAGAGGCAGCAGTTTGGTAACTTGCGCTGGCCCCGCCCAGCATGCGCAAGCGCCTTATCGCCCCTTCTGGCCTGCAAGTCCCCCCGCCACGTTCTGAGCACACCCTTACCCGGAGAGTGTGGAGCCAGCCTCCTTGCCGGGGACTGGGACTCCATACGGTGGGGTGTCACTGAAGAGAAGGACCCCTGACTTTCCAGAGGCGTGAAACAGAACGCTTTTTATCCACTCGGCATCTTCAACCAGGAGCCAGTCTGCGACTCCCGAGTCCCCAGTGCCCAGAAAGCCACCGTCCCAGAGCCGTCCTGAGTGGACCTGGCCTAAATGTTTAAGGTTCTTTATTTTCAGGTCTGCGCTTTTTGTCACTGTGCGTAAGTCCTGCAATAAGAGTTCTTAGCACTGGAACCACATCACGAAGTCATTTATATAAATACATTCCACCCGGCAAGATCATACAATAAATACTTCAACAAACTGGTGTGTAATACACATAGGTTGAGAAAAAGGAAGAGGTCCGTGGTTTTTTCAAGGGTAAAAGCTTCTCTAAAATATGCCCACTGGATGCAAAGGGAAATCCAGAGAAGGGTGTGGCCGCAGCAGCCCTTATCAAACAGCCAGGGGAGGCAGGACCCACGGCAGCCGGCCCTTCCTGGTAGGGTGGGTACCAGTCCTACTGAGAATCGCACCAGGCCTGCCAAGGGCACCGAATGCCCGGTTCGCATGTACTGTGCCCGGGACCCCCCCATCCCCCCTGGAGGGAGGTGTTGGGATTCCAAGAGGGGACACGAGCTGTGTGCTCTGGGAGATCGGTCAGACCTGGTCACCGTCCTGAAGGCTGCCAGATGGTAAGGTGACTGCAGCCACCGCCCTCTTCCCTCTGGGCCTGAACACACCCTTGTCAGACTAGCCTGCCCCCCCCCCGGCCCCCCTGTGGCACCAGGTCCCTGCAGCCACCGTGGCCCAGGGTGCCATGTAACTTCCTCAGCGGCACCTGGGAAGAAACACCTGTGTCCCCTCACAGGACCACCCCCCGCCGACCGCTGGCCTCTCCGCCCCAGTCCATCACTGATACAGTGTCACAATGAATTTGGGACCCAACTCCCCCAAGACAAAGCAAGTGCTTCTGGGCGCTGAGCCCCATAGAAACGTTTGCTGAGTAACAGCCCGATGGGGCTCTCCTCCTCTTGAAAGACGACCTCCTGAAATCACTCCTGGTGCCAGTGTGTACGTCACCTCCCTGGGTCGCTGGAGTTGGGCCATCTCTGGGCTGAGCGGCAGGACCCACACGGGCGGTTCCAAGGGCTTCCTCCGGCGCCTGGCCCCCCGCCACTCTGGCGCCGCCCGGCCCGGATATTGTTCGGACCCGCTTCTGTTTGCCGGGCACAAGGAAGGGCCCGGTGTGGCCGCTCAGACGCCGAGGAGGACCGCGCTGAAGTGGGAGCCGCTGCGCACGGTGAGGGAGGAGCCGCTGGCGTTGTCCAGGAAGACGGAGGCGTACTGCCCCATCTGCAGGGAGGGTCAGAGCCAGCCTGGGGACCGCCAGCCCCCCAAATGCAGAATCTGGGGACTCCCCCGACCGTCTGCATCCGAGGACCCCAGGTGGACCCCGTGCCACCCGGCAGTGCCTGGGACCTGACCCTTCGATGCCTTACAGCGACCACAGCTCTGGCCTCCCAACTGTGTGGGAGCTTAAGCAAACGACGTAACCTTTCTGTGCCTTCGTTCCCGTGTTTGTGAACAGTGGGAACGCTGTACATCACCTACACTTAAATAAAACTTTCCATTCTGGTGAACGGAGGAAAAACAGCAGTACTGACCTCAAAGCAGGTACTTTACGTAAAGAGCTGGGCGGGGGGGGGGGGCTGGCATGCTGCTATTTAAGGGTCAGCTGTCACTCCACATGTCTGCACTTCAACTCTTTCTCTTTTACTAAACCCCACGTATCAATTTGTCACTTGCCAAGGGCCCCACAGTGCCAGAAGAGACTGTCACGCAGGATCCTGTGTAGAGTCACATCTTCCCAAGGTTGCAACAGGCCCAGGGTTGTGACAGTGTCAGCCTGAGGGCACAGAGCTGACCTCCATTCCCTCCTGCCACCTGTCCCTACAGGGAGCCCCAGTCCTCTGTGAGATGCCGGGGAGGTCTGAACACAGCGGACTGAGGAGCAGGGCGGCAGCTGAGGACGGCGGCCGTGCCCGGGGCCGGGGGGAGGCTTTGCTCTGCCCGAACCCGTGTGAGCTCCCCGGTGTGGCCCCGATCTCTCCCAGGCCTGGAGTCGGCACTGTTCCCAGGGATCCTGAGCACCCACCTAGCCTTGCCCGGGTGGTGCCTGCCCCCCGTGCCCGAGCCTGTCCCACGCACCTGCAGGTACAGAACACCGTTTACGGAGATGGTGAAGAGCTCGCTGCTACTCTCCAGGCCCATGACAGCCTCCAGGGAGCTGCAGCCAAAATGGGAAGACCGTCAGCCCGCACCCCGGGCCCCACCAACCTCCTGTGCTCACAACCACGCCAGCAAACGACAGCCACCCAGCTCAGTGCAGTGGTAACAGCTGTCCTGGCCAGGTCTTCTGGTGGAGGGTGGCATCCAAACTGGATCCTCCAGAAGAGTGGGGACAGTCTCCACAGGGCCAAGGGGGTTCTGCGAGTGCCCAGAAAGGCAAGCCTGGGCCCAGGTCAGGGCTGAAAGGTCCCGGCCCTGCTGCAAAGAGGACACAGGCCGGTGCAGCTGGAAGTGGGGGTGTGGTGGCAGCAGTGATGCCAAAAAAGTGGGTTCAGGCCAATCTATGGAAGGTTTCCAACCGCGGACTGGGAAGTTCTGAACTCTGTCTCCCAACTGCTGTGGAGCGCGCGCGCCCGCTCTGTGCCTGGGATCCACTGGGGGCGCTGGGGATACAGAGGGTGCTGCCCCTTGCCCTCCGGGGTGCAGGTGCCACGGAAAGAGGGATCGTGTCAGGGAGTGGACGGTGAGAAGGAAGTTCACAGGCAGAAGAGACGGGGACGGTGATGGGCTGCACGGGGACTGTGGCCTCCGGGTGACAGCGCAGGCGAGGGGAGCGGGGAGGCTGGGGAAAGTGTCGGGGTAAGCACCTTGCGCCGCCCCCCACCCCCCGCTGCTGGAAAAGGATGGCCTGATGGGGCCGGGAGCTGACTTCTAGATCAGATCGGGAAGGAGGCGTAGGGTCGCCAGCGGCTGGTGCGGCGGCGCTGGCGGACAGGGTCTTTCCAAGCTGGGCAGCG